CAGCGATAAAATTAATCTTAAAAATTATTATTAAAAATTATTCGAAAAACTATTGACGTTTTATTTTTTAGCAGCTGTTCTTGAGCATGCTTCGTTAAGTTTTGGTAACTTTTAACATAAAAGCGATCGTTATTATTTAAGTAATTTTTTTGAGTTTTTCTTTTCACAAAAAATTTAATAACTGTACTTTTTTATTGAATCAAGTAGAATACGTTTTAATATTAATCCTTTTTTTTTATTTTATTTGCGCTCACCAATTTTTAAAATGTTTCCTCGAAATTACTTATAAATACTTTAAATACGTCTAACAATTAATAAATATTTTTAAATCTATGGAATAATTTTAAAACATAACAAACCCCCGTAAAATAATTATTTAAGTTTAACATCTAAAACTAAAAAAAAGTATTTTTGTTCAATTTTATCGACAACTTTGCTATTGCTGAATAATTTATTAAAATGTTAGCATAAAAGATTTAAACTTTTTTTTTTAATCTGATTTTTTTCTACTTGTAAATAATGAGCATATTTAATTTTTTTTAATTCAAACTATTTCAACTGCGTGCGGTTTTTAAAATACTTTATTAAATGTTAAAATAATCGTAAACTACTTCATTAAAATTCCGCTCAAAAAGATCTTTAAATATACTCAAATAAAAATTTTTTTGCTCGACGCAAATAGCCCTAGCTACATGCAAAATCGCTCTTGGACGACGTAAAATTCACATCGCCCGACGCTTTATCGCAAGGCCTGCATACAAGTTTAAAAAAAGAAAAATCAAACGAGTGTTTCAAGGAAACAGATATATTAAGAAGCTAGGTGATGTTGTTTTGGAACAGCCTGCAGAAAAAACAAACAATGATGGAGTAGATATATTGCCATGTGCCATTTCATTAAAATTAAACATTTCCTCAAATAAAGCCAATCAACCCTTAGCTAAACGTGATGACTTTTTCTTCTTTTTTCATTTCCCAATGTTAAAATTTATAACATTGGATTATGCGGTTGTTGTAAATCAAAAGATATTAAACTTGAATACCTTGATAAAAAAACAAAAGGATTTTCAGTACAATTTTGTATCAAATGTGCATTTTGTGATTGGACTTACTCGTTTAATTCATCGCAAGCATTTAGTATGTCTAATAGAGACTCCAGAGGAGTCAAATCTCAGGAAATTAACATCAAAACTGTTATGGCATTTACAAAAATTGGGCAAGGTCATGAGGCAATGAAAATATTTGCTTCAATTTAAATATGCCCCCACCAATGACTCTTAAGACATATAATGAAATAAACTCTAACATCCTACCATTTTATGAAGCTGCTTCTTGTGATAGCGTGAAAGATGCTGTGAAAGAGGTTAGAAAAATTGTTTGTCCAACTGCAGCTGAAAATGATATTATAGAAATACAAATTGGGATTGATGGCACTTGGCAAAAACGTGGTCATTCATCACTAAATGGTGTATGCACTGCTGTTGCTAAAGCTAACCGTAAAGTCGTTGATTTTTAAAGTTTTGTCGTGGATGTGCTTTGTGGAAAAGCAAGAGCAATAAAACTAAATTAAACTAAATTTAAACTAAATAAAGCATTATGAGGTCTTAAAACTAAATTTGGTATGTTGAAAAAGTTAAAAATCAAAAAATATTTTTTTTTTAAATTTTATTTATTATTATAGTTACTATAGACTAAACTGAATAATAATGATGCCTGAATTGGTATTTATATTATTTATTTTGTACTAAAAAATTAGGCTTGAAATTTAACTAGTAATTATTTATGTATAAATATATATTCAATTCGAAAAGCTATGATTTAAAAAAAAGTTATTATCTACTTAAAAAAGGTATAAAGGCGTTGCTCATCAAAATTCAATTGACCTGTTACATCTGTTTTAATTAATATAATAAATTTAAAAGAAAAGCAAACGAATGTATACTATAACAATGTAGCTATAACAATGTATAATCACTTGGTTTTAAGTTATTAATCCTTTTACAATCTTAATAGATAATCCTATTAAGTTAATAATAATAATAATCTTAATAGATAATCCTATTAAGTTAATAGATAATCCCATTAAGTTAATAATCCTAATATATAATAACTCTTACAAATTTATAAAAACACATTGCAAAAAGGTAAAAACTGCAAATAAGTATTGCAATTTACTTCTCGACAACTTAGCGATTAAAAAAATATTAAAATAGTTTAACAAGTAACTGATTAACATATAGTTTAAAAATAACAACAGATACAAACCTTTTCTAAAAGCAAAACTAAAACAAACGATTCAAAAGATTAAATTAGATACGTCTGTTAACTTAAATTAGATACGTCTGATCTCTATCGTAAATTTGAGAAAAAAGGACAAAAGATATATTGCGCACTGTTTAGAAAAAATCTATTTTACAGAATGACATAAAAATGACGTAAAGAAACGGTAAAACTTCAGTTAACGGGTTATCCATAAAGTACATCACGCAACTAGAGGGAGAGGGGGAGGGGGGGAGAAGGGGAGGCATAATTTTGTGACAATTTGTGACAAGGGGAGGGGGTTTGATAAATATGATGTCACAAGTATTATTTATCATGACAGTTTATTTTCTACATATTTACTCATTCAATTATATAAGTGCTTCAGATTTTTACTCACACTACTCATGTTATGCTGTATTTTAAATAGTTTTAAATAGTTTAAAAAGTTTGCAAAAACTGCCTTCATGTTTCTGAAGACATTGAAGCGCAGCGATGCAAAATCATTAAATCAAGAACGTATAATTTAAGTTTGGAATTTTAAATGGAGGGTTTAAATAAGTAAATCAAGCATATGATGAACATATTTTTATGACATTATATAAACACTAGAGTTTTAGTTACATTTACACTTAAGCAAGAATATATAACATATGATAAATAATAAATATATAATATATGATAATTAAGTTAAATAGACTTGCTCATGCTTTAAATAGCCAATAGGAAACACAGATTATTAATAAATAAAAGTGTAAATAGGATAGTAGCTAGTTAGCGGTCAGTATAACTAAGTAGTAGTAATTTATATTATGGCATAAATGCAATATTTTTAATTTCTCTAAATGAGTGCAAATGTGATCCAGTTCCATTAAAAACATGAGGTTCAAATAAAAGAACTATTTTTATTGTATCTTATAATGATAATGTTTCCCATTAAATTTAGAAGGTATTCCAAATTAGTTAAATTGAGTCTTTTTTATTCTGTTAAATAGCTATTACTATGTTGAAAATTCCGTAATGTTTTTTTTTGTTTGTTTTAGAGGGGGGGGGGGGGGAATATGTGACATACTTTTTTAGGGGGGTGCAGAATTATATGACAGTTTGTGACAGGAGGGGGGAAGGGGGTTAAAAATTGAAAAAAATAGCGTGACTTACTTTATGGACAACCCCTAAGGAATCGTTCATAAATTACGCTACGCTAAATTTGTTAAAAAAACAGAAGAGAACTTAAGCTCTTTTACCAATTAAACGCTGTTTTGATTTTTTATTTAACTTAAATCTCTGGGAGGAAAAACTTTTGATTTTTTTGAAAACCTTCACCTTCCCCACTCCCCTAGTGCAAGACAATTCCTATGTCGAATTAAAAAACTTAAATTGTAAAAACCTTATTTTTGACAATCAGTAACTTTAACTTTTAAATAAAATGAAATAAATAAAAACTTATTTTTGTTTAACTAGATTAAATACAACTCTATTTCTTATTGGGTTTTAAATTGAAATTTCTTCAAGTTTTGATTTGTTTATACAGAATTTAGTATTATTGAACTTCTTTAGGATTTTGTTCAAATTCTTTTAAATAAAATTAAAAAGCGTCCTTAATTTAGACGCAATAATATATGAAAAAGCTAGAACTTTTACAAAGTGTTTAAACTATAAAAAAACTTAAACTTAAAAAACTTAAACTTAAAAAAAAAAAACATGATTTTTTTGCTCAAATTTAAAATGTTTTCCATCTCATAAGTGAAAGTAAAAAAGCACACGTGGTTATTAAAAAGTATTTCAATACGTCTTTAATAGATTGAATAAATTTTTAAGATCGGAAAAGTATTGGATAAATCAAAATCAGTTATAAAAGATATGGTTCTCAAAATGTAGTGCAAAACTAAGTAACTTTTGTTCTGCCAATCAGTTCATATACAAAAAATTTATTTCTAAGTATATGTTTACTGATTGGGTTTAGAGAAAAAGCATTTTAAAGATAGGTAAAACTAAATTGTTTTTCCACGTGTAAGTGAAGCGTAACGCGTTATAAACATTGAGCTCGCAAATGTTAAATAGGTTTATCTCCATAAATAATGATTTGGAATGAGTAAAACAAACCGCAAAATTAATCAAACGGATAGCATGTTTTTGACCAGTGGCGGAATTTCAAATTTTGGAGCCCCTCGCAAAATACTATATAGACGCCCACCACAAAAAGAAAATAATAATTTTTATCTAAATTTCTTTATTGAAAAACTGTTGCACAACTGAAATTAAATAAATAAATAACAGTTTATCTAAAATTGTAAATAATTGCTCCTTGATTTTAAATTGGCAAAACCTGTCACGACTTTGATTCTCATAGTATTGGCTGTTTTTGCTTCGATTCCTAATATAAATAGGTTATGCAAACGTTTTTTGTCTGTAGAACTGCGTAAATATTTTTTTATTATCTTGTAACATTAAATAAATGTAGAGACATTTATTTAATGTTATATTATTCTTTTCGAGCAGATTTAATGTTTCTTTTTATAATGTTTCTTTCAAACAAGAGTATTGAAGCGAACTTATTATTTATTCGAAGTTTAAACATCTAATAAAGTTCATTTGTCATTTAACTCAACTATATTTTCAGAAGAAAATAATTATAAAAGTTGCCAAATATATGTCTTAATTAGGAAGTAAGTATCGGATTAGGGATATAATTAAAGAGATAAAAATTATGGCAAATTTTATTAGTTTTATTTCAATTATAGGTAATGGCTACATTCTCTTTAAAATCATTATCAATACTAGAAAATAAAGTAAAAGATTTTTCGATAGATATTCCACTGATTTTTTGTACAAAAATAGGTGAAGGGACATCTGCATCTATTTTTAAATATGAGCTAAAAGGTGATCCGGTGGCTGTAAAAATCTTTAAACATTCTTTATCCAAGAAAAGAACACTGCAGGTTGCAGATAAATTACGCAAACTAGTCTGCCCTCACCTCGTAGTGTTTAGAGGATACTCATTGCGACCATCAGCATTTATATTTGACTTCTGCGGAGTAAATGTTGGAGATGAATGTGTAAACAATGTATCCCAAATGATAAAAATTTTTAATGAAAACGATCATTATGTATTAAACGAAAGATTAGACATTATCAAACAAGCTACCTTAGGTTTAAAAACTTTACATGATTTTGGAATTGTACACAGAGACTTTAAACCATCTAATCTTTTGGTCACTGGAACTTTAAGCAAATTATGCGTCAAATTAACTGATTTTGATGACCTATCTTTAATACAAGAAACTGTTAATGCCACCCTAACAAACAAAGTCTTTTTGTTTGGAATGACTTTAACTTATACAGCACATCTGCAAACAGGAAGTTAAATCTCCATCCTTTAAGTCAGACATTTATTCCTGGTCAATGTCAGCTTACGAAGTTCTTTCTGGATATGAAAGCCCTTGGGTAAATATAACACCTATACTAAATGATTCTCTCCTAATAGAAGCTTTGAGTCAAGATAAACGACCGAATATAAATGACTTAAACCAGTTTTACACATTTAATGATGAAACTTGGATTTTCAAAATGATTTGCAATGCGTGGGACACAAATCCAGATGTTAGAAAAGATATTGATAAGGTGAGACGAGTATCAAATAATATCAAAATATCAATAGATTTAGTATTTAACGATAAAAATAAATAAATTTTTTTTTCAGATTTTAAAAACCCTAAACAAAGATAGAAGCAAGCAAACAATAAAACCAAAACAAGATGCAAAAATCTATCCACTCAACGAACGTAGGCAGGTATGAAAAAAAATTAGTATTATAAAAACAGCTATTTTAACCATTATATTTTTTCATGCGCATTATTTTTGGAAATACTTAAACTTGAATTCACTAAAGTAATGTTAAGAAAAATTTGGTATTTATTTAAAAATAAGACTTCATTCTTGGAATGAAACTGGAATAAAGAAAAGTGTTCCTTTTTAACTGGAACTAAAAAAAATCATTTTATTAAACAGGAATTCGTAGCCCAACTTGATTCAAAACTAAAAAAATGGAGTTTTATTTCAAAATAAAATGACATTGGCATAAATTATAGAACTGTAAATGTTTGCAATATTAAAACTTTGACTTTCTTTTATTATTAACTAGAAGTAATAACCCAGTGGGCACGGGACGTAAAAAAAATTTCTTTTAAACATCTTTTGAACGTCTGTTTAATGTTTTGGACAACTTTTGAACGTTCAAAAAACGTCTTTTTATTAATCCCGTGCCTACTGGGAAGTTTGCATTGAGTAAAAAAAAATTCAAATATAATTTACAAAACATTTTTTTTTAATAACAAGGCTAAAATAAAAAACAAACTTCTTTTACATGGTAACATCAAAAAACCAGCTAAAGTTTTACGTTTGTATTAATAGTATGGAACAATTTTTCTTTATTTAAAGAAAGTTAACTCATATGTGTTTGGCATTTTTAAATTCTATTTGAGATTTATTTGAAACTAGTCTAAAAATTTGCATTCATCAAAGAAATTTGATGCTTATATATCTTTAAGTTACTTGATTACTCTTTTAAAAAACAGCAAAATAAAAATATTATGCTATTCTCTAAAACAAAGAGGTAATTAGAGATAATTAATAATATAGATTAAATATTATTTATTTTTAAAAGGTTGTGTTTTTGTTAAAGTTATCACAGAAAAAGACCCGCTGTTTCCAAAATGAAAAAGCAGAAAAACATTACCAGAGTAAATCTGACCCTGAAAATCTCGAAAAAAAATTTATAAATGATTACAAAGGTAAGATTGTGAAGAGAGCTATACATTTGATTTATGAAATAATAATATAACTTTTTGGAATATGGTTTATATTTTTACTACTATTAATTATCATCAATAAAAATTTTTTTAAAAATTATTTCTAAAAATACGCATTTTTATAAAAAAATTTAGCTTTGGAATTTTTACAACAACAGAAATAAGCAAAGATGAATTTGTTGCTGTTTACCAAGGAGTCTTAAAAAAAAAGAATGAAATGAAAGAGCTTGAAGAAATTTATGAAAATGAAGGCTTTGGGTCGTATGTATTTAGTTTCAAACACAACAATGAAGCATATTGGTAAAATTTGTTTAGTAACAAATACAACTAATAATATTTTGGTTTTAGTTTGTTGACTTAACTAAAAGATATTTATTTACTTTTAATATAAACGGACATTGGCCCAAATATATGGAGATATTTTTAATAATCTAAATTAAAACTAATCTAACTCGATTTTAATAAATTTATTTTTTATTGTTAAAATATTTAGTATTGATGCAACCAAAGATGATGGTTCTTTTGGTAGGCTAGTTAATGATTCTAAATACTTTCCTAACTGTAAAATGGAAAAGTTAACCATAAAGAATATCCCATTTCTTTGTCTTTTCTCAATAAGAAAAATAGAAAAATTTGAAGAAATTACCTATTGTTACGGTGAAAATAACCTTGACTGGCACGCAGCTGTAAGTTATTTTTTTTTTGTATTAGCTTATGTTTGTATTATATAAGTAGAAATTTGTTCTTTAAAATTCTATAATATAATGTTTATTTTTTAGATAAAATACATTTAATATAAATACTTTATATTAAATGTATTGTATTTATATTAAATACATTTAATATAAATACTTTATATTAAATGATTTAAATTTGATTTATGAAATTACGTTATTTTCTTATAGCACACTTATAGTCAAGTTGAAATAAATTTTATAACAGTTTACTTTTACATTTTATGAAGGAAAAGATATTGTACCAGAAGTTTAGAGAAGAAAAAAGAAAAAGTTAGTTTGAAAAATTAGTTTTTAGAATGTGTATCATTTAAAAAAACTTATTTTTATTTTTTTACAACTACAAAATTCAAATTTCTTATTCTCTTAAATAAGATTAAATCGAATAAAAATTTGAAAAAACTTAACTATAGTTTAAACAATAAATTATGAGGAAATTTTCATCATGATGTATTTTGGCTGCCAATGTAAATTTTTAGTATCGTATATAAACAAAAATGAATATCTCAACCAGATTAAAATTTGATAAAAAGTAGTAAATACATTTAAATTAACTTTATGCGACTTACCCAAGTATTTTGCAGAAATATATTTTCAGATTTGAAAATATATTTATATATATTACAAATGACTAGCGAATAAAAATTTATTTTAAACTAATTTTACTCAGGAATTTTTTGAAGAAAGTTTTATTAAAATAAAAAGTTTTAAATAATATGATATAAATAAAAATACTCTTTACTCCCACGCCAAAATCTTCATTCTGTATGATCCTTAAAGTTCTTAATATAAAACATGCATAAATATCGAGGGTTCGCAAGAGCTTTAGATAAAAAAAAAAAAAAACTAATTTGTTTTTTATAATTTGAAAAATTTTATTTGAGTTTTTATTCAAAGTGTTCAAAAAAATTTTCAAATTTTAGAATATAGTTTTTATAGCTATTTCAAGCTTTGTTTTTAGTTACTATTACTTATTTAATTAGAAATTTTTAGTAAGTATAAATATAAATAGAAGTAATTTTTAGCATTTTTAAAATCTTAAATCATATTTGATTACAGAACAAGGATCGAATGTTCAAGTAGTTGATTTAGTTGAAGACAATAAATCCAGTTTTTCTTTTAAAGAGGTAAATTTTTCAACGATTTAGTTAAATTATTGTCTATAATCAGTTTTATAATTTTAAATTTCGCTAAATGCAGAGCACGAGCTAGGCTACCTCACACCGCTAATGGTAAGGGGGCGCAATTTTAGAGAGTTCTTTTGTAAATTTTCGGATCTTAATCTTTAGTTTATCTAGTGGAAAATTTTTCGAAATTTTTGGGCCCTAAAAACAGGATTTTTATTGGGGGGAGGGAGGGAGGAGGAATCACTAGCCACGGCAACGTTTAATTGAAATATTACAAAAATCATCTAAAAAAAATCTATTCAGTTAATATTTTAAGTTATTAAAAATGTATTAAAGTAATGTTTTTAATGTATAAAAAATTCTGTTGGTATCTGAAATTATTACTATTACTTTTTTTGTATATAATCATAACACAAATGATTACCTTAACACCCAGCCTCTAACATTCCGTAAGTAATATATATTTACATGAACTTTTTTTTTCTAGCTGCTATCTAAATCCACTTAAAAATTTTTTAAATGAAAAAAAAAATTCATTTTTATTTATTCATTTATTATCATAATTTTTTTTTTTTGCAGGACAGTAATGCAAATAATTCAAATTTGTTTTTAACGGAAATGAGTGATGCAGTTGACTTTGTTGTCAGCACTTTTGTTCAGGTATTTTTTGTTTAATTATTTTTTATAAGTACCATTTATTTTAAAATCTGTTTTTAGTTAAATTGTTTCAATAATTAAAAGAATGATCTATTTAAATTTTGTTTTTATTTAAGGATTTTATCAATAATTCAGCAAACATTGAATTAACCACTGTTAGCAGTACTGTTAATGACTTATCGGCTGAACCTCAGGTTAAAAATTATACTAGCATTTTAGGGAATTAATGTTATACGGGATCACTATAAGTTTTTATTTTTTCACAAGTTTCTGAAACTTTAAAAAAAATTACATTACTTTAAAATGTTATTAATAATTCAATGAGTCAAGTATTAATTGAAGTAAATAGTGTCATAAATGGTGAATTGAAAGAGTCTCAGGTTCGAAATTAAATTGACTTCTTTTTCAAGCATTATTCAAAGAGTTTCTCAGCTTACTAAAAAAATAGTTTTTTTGTTATTTTAGAATACGGTTAATAGTTCTTCATACCCTGAATTATGTGAAGTGAATAGTATCATTGATGGTGTTTCGGAAGAAGCTCAGGTAGAAAACGGAATTGACTGTTAGTTTAAAGCCAAATTTTATCTTAAGTTTTCTCGTTCTCTAACCATATCAACTTGAAAAATTGTTGTTTTAATTTAGAGCTTCATCAACACTTTAACAAATTCCGGGTCAAGTCACATAAGCAGAACCGGTAATTGTGTATTGGAATCTCAGGTAAAAAGATAAAATAAATTTTTATTGTTGAAAGATTTAAATACATTTTTTTTGGTATATTAATTTGACTTTTAAACATATTTGTAAACATGTTTTTTCTACTTGATAAAACTCTTTTACTAATTTTTCTATAGAACTCAATAAACAATTCTGAAACCTTTTTGTCTTCAACACTGAATGACGAAAGTTTATGTTTCACCAACCTAAATGAAAAAGACGAACTAATTAGCGAAGAGAAAGTAAATACAAATACTCATAAAGTAAAAAAAGTAAGTTTAATAATGCTAGCGAACTGATTATGGTTTTACAAATGAATACTATCTGATATCAAACTTTATGTATTTTTCTAGGGTCCAATTAAAATACTTAAAAGATTATGTTTTATCTGCGGTAAATCATTTCGAAGACTTTCAAGACATATTGCAAAAAAACACAAAACTAACGAAAAAGTAAAAACTGCTTTGCAAAAACCCAAAATAGAGCGTAACAGGCTGTTTCAATCTTTTAAAAAAGATGGTATTCGCAATTTTAATTTGAAACAAATTGATTTAAAAGTTCCTCGCTTCGAAAGAGAGCGGAGTCAACGAAAGTGTGAAAGTCTAGTTATGTGTTCGTTGTGTCATGGTTTTTATTCGAAATCTTATTACTCTCGTCATATGAATGTATGTGGAAAAGATTCTTCTCATTCAAAATGTGCAGTACCGGTTGAAATCCTTACTGATAAATCACAAGAAGGATTAAGTCAAAATTTCAAAACTGAAATTTTGCAAGTGATTAGAGACGATCCTATTGGCATTACTGTGAAGAGTGATCGAACAATTTTGATGATTGGGTCACTACTTTACGAGAAAGTGAGAAGAAAACTTAGCAAAAAAAGTGAAGTTCAAAATTCTGTTCGAAATGATATGAGACGATTAGGCCATCTATACTCACATTTTAAAAACTATGAAGTAAAACCAATTTATTGCAATGCAGCGGATATGTTTCTTCGACAAAATTTTAGTTCTTTGAAGCTTGCAATCGAAGTATATACAGATACGTATTCTGAAAATCAAAAATCAGGGTTAAAAGCTGCCTTATATTATTTAATTTCTAGCAGTGCAAAAAAATGTGTCGGAAGCTTTTTGGCTCAAGATGACGATTCAGCTAAATCAATCTCTGATTTTTTAGTTCTTCTGCAACTTCGTAAAGAAGAGATATTTGGAGATGCAACATATGATTTGAATGAACGCAGAAACATTAGTTTAAAGAAACCATCAAAATTACCAATTGAATCAGATATTCAAATGATACGGGATCTTCACGCCTACGTTGAACTGCGTGATGCTGCATGTACAAGGCTTGTTCTATTTAATGGTAGACGAGGCGGCGAGCCTGCCCGTCTTTTGTTACGCGAGTGGTTTGAAGCAGCAAAGGATGCATGGCTAGATGAACAACGTGCTGAAGATTTAACAGAGATAAATGAAACAAACATGAAAATAACTTACCAAAGTGGAAAAGGTTCAAATCATCTTGTCCCTGTTTTAATTCCCGAAGATACTGTCCGTGCTATGGAAATTTTATCCGATCCAGTTGTTAGAAGTAATGTTGGAGTTCTGGAATCAAATGTTTACGTATTTCCTAGTTGTCAAAGTTCAGAAAAGCATTGTTCAGGCTGGCATAGTTTAACTAACGTTTGTGATAAATTGCCTATAATAAACAAGTCTAGATTAACTGGTACAACAAATAGACATAGATTAAGCACGCTTATGGCTGCAATAAATCTTAGTGATTTAGAAAAAAGTTTAGTTTTTAAACATTTTGGTCATAGCAAAAATATAAATGAAAATATTTATCAAGCACCAGCTGCCCACCAACAAATTTTGTCTACAGGAAAACACTTGTTGGCTATCGATGCAGGTATAAAGTAGTTTGTGTATCACTAGAGTACAACTAAACAAAAATAAGATATAGTTTTTAAGATATTTATATACTTTATAATAAAATTTAATATATGATACTTTAAAAGTAAGTTAGGTTTTTACATTAAAAAATAGGTCACTTGCGCACAAATTATAACAATCTAAATTAAAAATTTTAAGAATAAATGTTTAAAAATCTTTCATGCGACTCTAAATTAAGAAGACTTTGCAGTCTTGTTGATTTAGAGTGAATTTGTTGAACAACTTGTAAGTTCATTTATTGAATTAGACTGAAATTATTTTTCAATGATAATTTCTTTTGCATTAAATAATATTTACTTAATGGTATTCTAAAATTATTTTCAAAAATTTATTTTTATATTGATGCAGGAAGCGGACCCAAGGAGCACAAACGTATGAAAACCAGTTCAAGTTTGATTCAAACAGGTGGGAATTTGTATTAATTTTAAAATCTTGAATTTCTATTACTTTAAATGAATAAACTGCATCTTAACTTTTAATAGTAGATCCTAATGGATGTGAACCTGAAAATGGAGGCAAACTTGAAAGTAAGACAACTGATCTTTTACATGGTAATTTTTGATTTTTCTTTATGAATTAGTGTTAATTTCAGAGAAATACACTTTTTTTCGTAACGTTATTAAATCTTATATTTGTTATTATTTGATTATAAAACTTATAATGATTATAACTAAAATTTAAAGGTCTTTACTTCTAGAAAAACCTTTAAATAGTCATCTGTCAAAAGAAATTCAAAATCCAAATGTGGAACTGAATCACTCTCCTGCTCAGAAATTTGAAGGTAATTTTGTACTTTTTTGCAAAGGAGTTTTCCAAAAATTACGTTGCGCAATTCCTGACCGTTTTTTTTATCCCTCCTCTACCCCTCTTCACAACATTGTAACTCTTTAGTAGCAAGTTCCGTATGAGCCGTCACAAAACCGCTAACCTCTTGTCTCTTCCTAAAGCGTGGCGTAATTTATGGACGACCCCAAACCTGATTAATGTTTTAATTTGCCACAACAAAGCTGTATAAAAACTTGTTTTTATTTTACTTAATAAAAATCTTTAATAGTTTTACCGTCCCTTCTTCCTACTTTCTTCACCCCTCATCAGACAGCCGTCTAAACTATCAAAAAATACAATTATTTATTAATTAACACAGTTTGATCTATAATTATACTGATTTGTAAATAGAACTATAATTCTTTTTTGCATTAGTCAGTTTTGGTATAGAAAATTTAGTCAATAATAAAATAACACATAATACTAAAAATTAAAGCTTTTTAAATTTCTGAGATTTTTAATTAGCTTTTGCATTTTTTGTTTAAAAAGAATATATACTCAGTGGTCAACAGAACAAGAAGAACTATTGGAAGAAATGTTTGGAATATTTATCAGAGATAAAAACCTTGGATGGCCCAGTAATTAAAAAAGAATCATTGTTTTTTAAAAGTATATAAAATGTATGGCATATATATATATATATATATATATATATATATATATATATATATATATATATATATATATATATATATATATATATATATATATATATATATATATATATATATATATATATATATATATATATATATATATATTTAAAGTATTTTCTATTTTAGAGTATAATGAAATAAAAGTCTTCTGTAACCAAACTGGGGTTCGAGAAAAAGCTTTAAGAAACAAAATTAACAACGAACGAGTAAAGTGGATGAGCTTACGAAAAAAAAGAACAGAAGAACTTAATATTTAAAAATTTGTGATTTGTGTTTGTTTAAATCAATATAAAAGTTTTAAAGTAACCATAGTAACCATATGATAAATAAATTAAGGTTGACTAAATTGTAAAAGTTATGTAAAATTTGTCACAAAAAATACTAATAAACTGCAATCTTTTATAGTGAGTTATGTATGATTTTAATAAAAATAATTGTTTAACTAAAACTGGTTATTCTATGTTTACGGTTTACTATTTTAAATTTGTTTTGTTTTGGCTACTCTAAGTAGCCGTAGTTCAGCTTTGTATTTATTTTCTTTATAAAATCCTACTCTTAACTTAATACAGTTTAAATATATTAATGAAAATCTTATAAAGGATTATAACATATTTTATTTAACGCCAAGTCTGAAAACTTTATATTAACAAGCAAAGCATTACCAATATTTTTTAACGGCACTCCGATAACAAGTACAATAAACAATCAATATTAAGAAACACCAATAATTAATAAAATAATTAAACGTTAAAAGTATTTCGAAACGCCGGACAGTGCTCAAATGATGTAAAAGCGAAAAGTTATTTAATCATCCAGACGCACAGCGGGTCAGGTTGTGGGAAAAAGTAAAAAAATTACATCTGTTAGTCTTAGCCTATAGATCGAGTTAGTCTTTACGATGCTCATAAAACAAATGACCTCCGATAATAAACACGGGAGCAAAAGCCTCCGAAAGAACCAAATGGCGACCACAAGCAAGAAACATGTGTTCGCCACCTGGGAATTTTTAGTTTTTTGAGAGTGTTAGCCAGAATTAAATTTATTAATGTCTTTTTCGTTTTGATAAAGTTTATTTTCAAGTCTAAATTATTGTTAAAGAACCAAAGTTTAATATACATTTTTTTTCACTTTAACTAGAAATTAAACTAGAAATCTCTGGTCATATCATAGCGTGGAATCTAAAGAAAAAAGAGAAAGAAACTGACATTAATAAATAAATTATGTAAATGTTTTTATCTATTTTTTACTAATTTAATAAAACAGCAGCTGGACCATAGAGTAGTCACTTTGAAATTGTTCTTACCAGAAAGAGATGCTGTTTCAGACTTTCTTCTTTTGTTTGCATTGGGTTAGTGAACACAATCAGAAGAAAAATAATGGTATTTAAATCCACTAGTAGATGGTTGGGTCTTAGGAGAACTTGGATTTGGAAATTTGCTAGTTGTCTCTCCAATTGCCTGTTTCGTTCAAACGCAAAATCAAACCAGTTTTTTCGTTTGCTTGTTTTAAACACGTTAAATCTGGGACAATCCAACACAACTTTCTAAAATTCTGTATAATAATTTTAAAAAATAGTGTTAACAGAGGCTTTAGATGTTACAAAATGTTAAACCAATTAATTAAAGAACATATAATTGTAGAAAGTTTTTCTAAACTTAACTAAGTATATTATTTGTCCCAATCCTATATGTGTTTACAAAAAATATTTATCACTTACAGGTTTATGTATGACCCAGCTGCCTGTGCTTCAGTGAAACTTATTCGAAGAAAATTCTCACTCGGCTTAGTCTTACCCTTACGGAAATATTCCATGGAAAACCCATGGAATTCCATGAGTAAACCATGGTTTTCCCATGAAAAACGGGAATTCCATGGAATTTCCATGGGTAAATTTCATGAAAATTGAAATCCTATGGAATTTCCATGGGTGAACCATGTTTTTTTTTCATAGCTTAAGCTGCGCCATGGTTGTTACAAATGCGCTTTTAAAGATGGCGTCATAGCTCGTAGAGTTATGATTATTTTTAAATTAGAAAACAATACTTACTGCATTCTTCTGTTTTTCCGTGTTTAATAAGGCTATGAATTATATGTTTTTTATAATGCAATACATTTATATGTTTTAACTAAACATACAGACATAAACAACTAGATATATTTATCATATTATAATGCATTATAAAAGGGATTATTTTTAATTATATTTTATTATATATCATTTATGCATATACTTATTTTAACTGTTTCCAGTAGCTTTGCTTACTTTGCATAACTTGCAATAGTATAGCAAGTATGTCAAGTAAACCAGTTTGAATTTTAATGCCTACTTGGCAAATTATTTGCCAAATAATTATTATTTGGTTTACAACAAATAAATGTTTAGTTTTAATCTACATTAAATAACTAGTGTATTAATGTACATAGTGTAATTTAATGTACATTCAAACTAGTATAATTATTATTATAAAATTTATCGAACGTATTAAAGAAACTTATTTAAAATATTAATATACAAGCAGTATATTAGATAAGATTAGATAACTAAGATAATAAGATTAGATAACTAATGTACAAAAGATAACTAGTATGATCTTTTTTATTTTATTTTTATAATAGCCTTAGATTACATAAAAATGCTTGAAGTTTATTGTATCGTAAATGTTCATTAAGTATTAAAAAACATTTTTTTATGATAAATGTTCTATTCAATTTTAGTTCTGTTAAGTTGTTTTTGTCTTTTTGTTGTAGTTTTTTCTTTAGAATTATTAGAATATGTAAATAATGTAATATAAATAATGTTTATAAATTCTTTTATATTTACTTTATTATTTCATTTAAATTACTACATTATAAGCCAACAGGTTTGACTGGCAATATAAATAATGTTGTTCATCGTTTATATTGTTTATAACATCGTCAGTTTTTATATGCATTTAATATTTTTAAAAATAGTTCAAAAGCTGTCAAAATAAAATGGTGAATTGAGTTTAAACCAGAAAAGATATGAACGTAATCTTTGGGATTCAACTTGTAAGGATGTTCCAAGAACCACTTAGTTGGAGAAGGAAAACTGTGGTAATATTTTATAAGTATCAGTAAGGGAATTTACTTAATGCACAAGATTTTACTTCATAGTTAAATGTAAGCATATAAAAGCAATGTTTATAAATAATACACTATTATTTATTATAATACAATTATTTTTATTTGTTTATATTTAACTGATGTAAAGTGCTCGTCTTTAGTTAAAATAAATTAATTTTTGCACACACTTTGATATTTACTATGCTTTTACATTACTATACTTTATAAATTACATATTTGTTATGTTTTAAATAGTGAAGTAAAAATATAATAAATTTTTGAATTTAATGGTATGTGCGTAAGTTCTTTTATTTTAACTTTATCATTTTATTTAAATTACTGCATTATAAGCAGGTAAGTTTGACTGACAATATAAATAATGTTGTACATCATGCAGACAGCTCAGACAAAGAAGTAAGTTTTTACTTAAAATTACAATTTATAAGTTATACTATATTTGTTGCTGCCTTATTCTATATAAATGTTACTAACATGCAGGTAAAATTTATATATGTGTATAAATCTTTTCATTTTAACCTTATCATTTCATTTAAATATAAATTTTTAATTTATTTATTTAGCCGTTCATTAACAAGTCCTGTGCTTTATAATATATTAAAAAATGGAAGGACGTGAAGAAAACAGGTTTGTAAATGATGTTGTACATCATGCAGATAGCTCAGAAGAAGAAGTAAGTTTTTTTTTTAATTACAAAAGTAAATATATAATATAATATTTGTTGCTGCCTTGTTCTATATAAATGTTTCTAACATGCAGGTAACATTTATATATGTATTAGTTTGAATAAATCATTTTAATAAAGTTACATTATAGGCAGGAATGTTTGACTGGAAATATAAACGATGTTGTACATAATGCAGATAGCTTAGGTAAAAAAGAGGTAACAATCTAATAATTTGTATTTATAAATAATGATATATTCATTGCTACTTTTTTCTATATACCTAACATTTGGCAACATTCATAATTGTGTATAATGCCTAATTATAAAGTAAGTTATAATAGATAATAATTATAAGTAAAATGAATTAGTAAATAAAGAAAACTAGTTAGAATGTATATAATAGTTGTATGATGTATTGTCTAGATTGGTGAAATGGAGAATGAGACTAACTAGGGTGAAAAAAAATGAATATTAATATGTGAATGGTACTTTGTTTAACATCTACCTGTTTCTACAGATACAGTACAGACGCATTTATAAATGGGCTTGATGTTTTTTTGAATTAAATATGTTGTATTGATGGTTCTTTTTAACTTGTTAAAACTTGAAGTTATTATCAAATTTATATATACTATTTTTATCAAATAGTTAATATAAAATAATAAACATGTAAATTGTTTTATTTTTTGTAAAAATTGTTTTCTTGATAAATTTCAATTGTTTATCACTATGTATATCACTTATAGTATTATATTACTTGTAATTTTTTGTTTTATTTATTTTCAGTATGTTATACATATGCGTGCATTAAATATTGTGTGGAAGTCAAGTTTTGATGTTTTAGGTGCATTATAGCTATTATTTTTCAAAGATTTGTAGGATTTAACAAGATTTAAATTTTATTTTGTTTATTGATTTTATTTGAAGAAAGCGATCTCATAGATTAAGAGAACTCAATAATAGTGGGATAAAATTTGCTTTTATGATTTAATATGACAATTCAAATAACATTAGATAAAAAACTTGAAAACAAATCATGCTTTTTTACCATGAAAAATCCATAAGTTTTCATTGGAAAGGTGTTCCTAATACCTATGGAAATTCCATGGTTTTTCCATGGATGGAAAATCATTGAATATCCATGGTATTTGGAACACTTTTCCATGAAAAACTTAAAGATTTTTCATGGGAAATTCATGTGTTTTCCATGGAAAACTCATGGTTTTTCCATGGAAAACTCATGGTTTTTCCATGGAAAACTCATGTTTTTTCCATGGAAAACTCATGGTTTTTCCATGGAAAACTCATGGTTTTTCCATGGAAAACTCATGGTTTTTTCATGGAAAACTCATGGTTTTTTCATGGGAACGTGTTCCAAATACCCATGGTTTTTCCATGGGTTTTTTTTCTAAAATTCCCATGGGAAATTTTCGTACGGGTAGTACTTACATTCAAATATAATATTAGTTCTACTTGGGTTTAAACTTCAACAAAACCACCTTGATTGACACCCTCAAAAAGGCGCTCATCTCCAGCATGTTCCTTTTGTAAGGTTAACTATGTGTAATCAATAGCATCAGTATTAAATGACTGTAATCCACATTTCTTTAAAATCACTTTTAATCTTCACCTCAGTCATTGATCTTGAATACATCGGAAGAAAATGACTAGCGAAAGTTTCTTTTGTAATATAGGAGTTGCATTTTGTTTTATGACCCTCTGCAACTATTAACCGTGCTTTATATTTAAGTACTTTATGAGACCTCGTTGCAAATTCTATTGATAATTAATAATAAATTAAAACCTTAATAGGTTTACAGCATACAAGCTCGCTACAAATTCTAATAATTATTTATATAGTAAAACCGTTTGACCCTGTGTTTACTAAATTACGATCCTCAAAAATTATTATTATAAATTTTATAAACACATTGACAGTTCCAATTATTATTGATTAAAAACCAATTACTATAAACCACTTGACGTCATGGAAAATTATAGTATTTACCTTTTACGTCATGGAACATTCCAGTATTTAGATTCACAGTATACGAAAAAATAAACTCCTTGATAGAAAACCTAATAAATGTTTCTATGAGCTGAAAACGTACGTCGTATTTAATAAAAAAAGTACTTAAATTAAAATATAATTGTTCATATATAAAAAAGACAAAATATGCGTAGACAGAAATTTTGTTGTTCGAGATGGGGTGGTGGTGGGGAACACTGAAAGCAAAATAAACCTCTAGCTACTGAAAGCAAAATAACCCCCGACACCAACAAAAAAATTAAAAAGAGTTTAATTTTTTTTTCTTTATTGTAAAATATGAACACTTGCACACTTGCACACTTGTCAATATGGGTATGGTTTAATTTTATTTAAAAATAATAATAATGTGTAATAAGCAGTTTCAGAGGCGTAGACAGACGTTTTTGTTATTCGAGATAAGTAACTTCCAGACATGGAGCAAACTCCAAACATTTATATTTTTATACTTACGTCAAATAATGAGGCTTTGCAAATTAATTCTTGCCCCAAAATTCTTGCCCCCTGCCTATCACGTGAGAGCAACAAGTCGCTATAATTTTTTATAATTTTGTACTATTCTTAACTAGACTTATATTCATTTATAAATTTTAAGTTTCATAGTAAAATCTCTCAGCGTTTAATAGTTATGAGTTTACATAGTTTGAGCCCCCCTCAATTTTTTAATTTTTATTTATTTTTTTTAAATATTCTAGTTTACATTTGTTAATTTGAGGGGGTTACAAAATTTAAACAGTCATAATTTATGAAAGCTGAAAAATTACCTTATGAAACTTAAAATTTATCGATGAATATATGCCTAGTTAAGAATAGTACAAAAAATATTTTATCAACTTGTTGCTTTCACGTTTGGGGCAGGGGGGCGAAAATTTTGGGGCTTTTTGTTCCCAGCCTCCAATCATCGCAATTTTTTGCAAAGCCTCATTATTTGACGTAAGTATAAAAATATAAATGTTTGGAGTTTGCTCCATGTCTGGAAGTTACCTATTTCGAACAACAAAAACGTCTGTCTACGCCTCTGAAACTGCTTATAACACATTATTATTATTTTTAAATAAAATTAAACCATACCCATATTGACAAGTGTACAAGTGTTCACATTTTACAATAAAGAAAAAAAAAATTAAATTCTTTTTAATTTTTTTTTTTGGTGTCGGGGGTTATTTTGCTTTCAGTAGCTAGAGGTTTATTTTGCTTCCAGTGTTCCCCAACACCACCCCACGCTAACCCTTTCAAATTCATCCACTAATTATTTGTTAACAATATATTTCTGCATCCTAATTACAATCTGACAAAAAAAAAAGCAAAAAAATTATAAATTATATGTTTTTTGAGTGATTATCTTAAAGCTTATCTAAAATTTGTCATTAAGCATTAAGGATTTTTGGGCAAAGTTTTATTTGCAATAGATCCTGTACCTTTATTTTTAAAGCTACTAACTCTGATAATCTTTTTATACCTGATGAAAACTTTAAGCTCAAATTTTTATCAGGTATAAAGAGATTACCAAAATTTTTTTTTAGATACAATTTCGACATTTTCCAGCAATTAGTTTTAGCTCTGCATGTTTTTAAGTGACCAAGTGGCAAAGACTAGATCGCATGGCGAACACTGGATATTATATACCGTAAATATTTTTCTTATGAAAACCAATTTTTTTAAATTTCTTTAAATAACTTAGACCTAATACCTAACTTAATAGCTTTTAAACAGGCATTAAGTCTTTATTAACTTCGTTTGAAAAGTGTTAAAATTATTATTATAAAATATGAGGTAACAAAAGGGGTTGCTTAACTTATTATAAAAAAAACCTTTTATAATAACGTACTTGGGGGGGGGGGGGTCAAGGAAATGGTGGCCTCTGGGGCAATTCTGGACATATGATATTTCTATATTTGTGTAATTTAAGTGAGATTTTGTATCTGTACTGGTACCTATTTTCTACTAGAAGAACTAATAGTTGGTCCTAGTTCTTGGTTCTTCCTACATAAGCGGCGCTAGTTGTCTTATGTTGTTAACTGTCATTTACGTATTAAAAAGAAAAATAACTATTGTTGGGCCCACAAAGACTGTACAGATCTCCTCCATAAAAACGATATTTACATTTGTGACTATTGTATTTAATAGTAATATTGTACTACTTATTTTATTAATTCTTAAACTCATAAACTTATTCTTTTAAACTCTCATAAAACTTATTTTTGATAATTATTATTCTTGTTTTTATTATTCGTATTCGACGAAAGAATTAGTGTAATATTGACCAGGCTGCAACAAGTGCCTCAAAGTTATGGGGTAAAATTGACTATTTTGTCTAAATTTTTTCTTTTAATAACAAGTTAATTATTTTTTGTACGTATTTGCCAATAAAGTACTTTATAATATACATTGTATTAATTCTTCTACCATAGTTACAGCTCGGAGCATTATAATACAACCCTAAAAATAGTAAAAACCTTAAGGGGCCACCATTCCACCAACCTCCCCTACAGAGAATGAAAGGCAATAACGAATTCAGCATTTTTTAGTGTTTGAAATAACTTCCAGACATGGAGCAAACTCCAAACATTCATATACTTTCACTTAAGTCAAATAATGATGCTTTACAAAAAAATGCGATGATTGGAGGCTGGGAACAAAAAACCTTTCTATTTATCTTCACCCTAAACGTAACGAGCAATAAGTTGATAAAATATTTTTTCTACTATTCTAATTTATCGATAAATTTTAAATTTCATAGTATTATCTGTCAGCTTTAAAAATTCTTATCTTATTTATAAATAAATACATATACTTGTATTTATACTTGTATTTACTTGTATTTATAAATGTATTAAAGTTAAATGTATGTAAAGTATATAGTAAGGAAATAAATTTAAAAAAACTTGAATTTCCTTTAATTAAAAATAAAGTACAAACTTTTACATCTAAACGAATTTTATTATTTAAAGCTCAGATAATAAAACTCGTTTCGACATAAAAGTTTGTACTTTATTTATTAATAAAAGAAAAACACAACTTTGATAAAAATATAATTTTTTATGCGATTAGATTTTAAACGCATAAAATGTTCTATTTATTAAGCTTTAGAAAATTCGATTTACCTTAAAGATTAATGTAGAAGTTTGTACTATATTTGCTTTATTCGTAAAGAAGAAAAAACGGAACGTTGGATGCTTACTTTTTAGAAAAACTTATTTAACATTTAACATATATAATAGTAAAATACTTATTAATAATTCGATTATTAAAAGCTAGAAAAATAAACTTTTTATTTAAAAAATATTTTCGTGTAAAGAGTTATTAAAAAGACTTTTCAGCTTATTTTTAAAGCAAACCAAAAACTTTTTTTTACGCTCATTTTCTTTATCCAATTTTAGCAAATTTGTTTAACATGTTTTAAAATAATCCTTTTTAGGCGAATTTTTAAACAAGTTTTAGGTAAATTCACCTTGAAACATGTTTTAAATAAATTCACTTTAAGCGAAGTTTGTAAGCATGATTTCAATAAATCCACTTTAAGTGAAGTTTTCATATATATATATATTTAGATAAATCCACTTTAAGAGAAGTTTCAAACATTTCTTAATTAAAGGTTTAATTATTTTTTTAATTTTGTTTTAAATAATTTTTAATGTTGTTTTAAATAAATATAAATTTTAGACAAAGTTTTAAATATGTAATTTAATAACTCTACTTGAAACAAATGTTCAAACATCAATTCAATAAATCCACTTTAAGAGAAGTTTTTTATCACGTTTTAATGAATCCACTTTAGGCGAAGTTTCAAACATCTCTTAAAATAAATCCACTTTAAGCTAAGTTTTAATCATTTTTTAAATAAATCAAGCTTAAGCAAATTCATAGAATAATTTAAATAAATCCACTTTAACGAATTTCAACATGCAAAATTTAAAAAAAAATGTGATGAAAGAATTTTTTTATATAAAGGCTTTTATAAAACCTAATTACAGGGTGCCATGTTTCTTAAAGCACAAAGAAACACTATTTCTCCCCTCCTATCTGGTCTATTTCTCCTTATCCTATCTGGTCATTTATTTCAGCATTTTGCAATTCTCCCCCTCCCCCCCACACACACACAAACACACACATACACCGATAACTCTTTTTAAACAACCCCCTCCGCCGCCGCAACCCCTGCGTGTCCCAGTTTACAACTTCAAAATTATGGTAAGTCTAACTTTAGTCGAAGTTTTAAATTTGTTTTCAATAAATCTAATTTAAACAAGTTTTCAAATATGTTTTCAAGAAATCTAATTTAAACGATGTTTCAAACATGTTTTATATAAATCCACTTTAAGCAAAGTTTTGATCACTTTTAAATAAATCCACTTTAGGCAAAGTTTCAAATATCTATTAAGCTTATCCGCTTTATATTAAGTCTCATACATGTTTTTAAAAAATATACTTTAGACGAGTTTCAAACTTGTTTTCAATAAATACACTTTAGACAAAATTTCAAACAATTCTTCAATAAATCCACTTTAGGCGAAGTTTCAAACGTTTTTAAAATAAATCCACTTTAAGGCTAAATTTCATGAATATTTAAAAAAAGTTTACTTTTAGCGAGTTTCAAACATGTTATTAATAAATCCACTTTAGTCAAAGTTTCAATTATGTTTTCGATAAATTTATTTTATTCTAATTTTCAAATGTGTTTTTAAGGAATCCTTTTAGAACGAAGTTTCAAATATGTGAAAATCCACTTTAGGTAAAGTTTCC